CACCTATTAGTCAAGTTAGGAAAATAGGCAGAAAGACAACAGATATCCCTATGCTGATTTGTTGACTTCTGAGTACCAAAATAAAATTAATCCAGTATCCTGTTAGTGTCCAGTGTCCACATCTAGCTCCCTAGATGTGCTAACCCTTCAGCCTGCAGAAAGGCAGGAGTGTTTCTCCCTTTCAGATTTTTGACAGCAATGAACTGTCCAGTTATAACTGTGTTTTTGTTTTCATAAGGACCAATAAGGAGATTTGGCATTGCCAGATAGGAAATATATGCACTTTACTGGCATATATGTACCCAAAGAATGTGAGTTTCTAGCTGGTGCAGTCCTGCAGGACTTGCTGCAGGAAACCTCCTCTAACACAGTGAGCACACTCTCATGCATTAAGGCATCACTCATCTACAACTCCCTTGTTGGTCTGATTTTGTACATTGCAGATGCTGCTGCTTTCTACTGCTCATGTCAAGCTAGATGAACTGCAAAAGGTGACAGATTTAAGATTTTTCTCAGGCAAGAACACAGTGTGACTAACTATTTTCTCTGGAACTAATTCCTTCCCTGGTTGACACTCTGTAGGTGAAAATAAAAAGCTCAACATTTTTTTAAATAAAAAAGAAAACAGAATTAAAAAGCAGCCAACCAAAGTGGATCATCCTCAGAAATATAATTGTAGAGAGACAGATAATTTGGTGTCTGTTGGATATCCAGTTCCTTCCAAAGGGGGAAAAAAAGCTACATGCTTCTTGTAATGTAAAACACACACTGGTCTTCAGATGTGGGAATACACCAGAGAATAATTTCCACCCTGAGCAATGAATGAGAGCATAATACAGAGTACCTTTAAACAAATACTGCATTGGCCTCTTACATACAGAGTTTCCAGGAAGGGAAAACATCTGTAGAATATTAACTGACCCATGAAATGTTTAATGGGCATTTGTCAGAAATGTTACTCCAGAAACACATTCAGACTAACTGGCAGAACTGTGTCAGAATTCAATATAGGTGAATATATGTACACACAGGTAGATACACATGTACAAACACCACACTGATAAAATCCACACTCTGCTCTGACACGAGCCATCAGCATAAGCCATTGCTCTTCTCTTCCTCTCTCCAGTGCCATGTCCCCTTGCCAGCTATTCTGCACTCCTGCTTGAAAATTTCTCTTAACAAACTGAAGGTGAGGAGAGCACCAGGGCTGGAGCACTGCAAACAACTGTGCACTTGTTTCAACAAAAGCAGTATCAAGGTATCACAATCCAAACATGCAAGAAAATCTGAGTTATTTGCCAAAAGAAACTAAAGGTTCTGCACCTCCACTTGTCTGGGTTTCACTCTGCATACACAGACATCACCATTAACTGCAGAAGAATACACAAATACAGAGCTATGCAAATGTTTGAGAGCTAAAGCCAGGGCAAAGTTAGCACACTGGCCATATTTTCACTGCTTTTGGTTTTAAGCCAGAGCCATAATAGGTAAATTTTAAAGGTCCTCAATTCAAATGAACTCAAAATGGACAGAAACATGGAACAGAAGCAGCACTACTGAAAAATATTTCCTAAAGGTAAAAAGACTGTTCCTCTGTACAAGATTCAGCAGATGTGAAAGAAATAATCAAGAGCTGGTAAGGCTGTATGGGGAGGAATACTACAAACTAGCATGATTAAATGAAGGAGAAAAACAGCCCCAAGAAGAGCTTTCTTCATTCTGCCTTAGCTGTGGTTTTTCCTCATTTCCCTACCATGCCCTTCCACATGCCAGCTATTTATACAGCTACAGAGTGATCCAGCAGCTTCTCCCACTGGAAACAAACTTTTCTTTCTGGAAATGTCTTAGGAATTTATCAGTGTTAGACTGCTTTTTTGGTAGTAGAAACAGCTTATGAAGTTTGGGAAACATCCTGCGCCCTCTCAAATTAAAAGGCCTACCCAAAAAAAAAAAGCATACCAGCGCCAATAAAGACTGATTTACCTCTCACAGAAAAGTCTCATCCCCTTCACAGCCTCTGTCCCTTGGCTCTCAACACTCCTTTGGATTTGTTTGCAGAGGGCTGATGAGAAGCCCCATGTGATCAATTCTGCATGGTTTACACAGGAACATTCCTCACTACATGGTCTATACAGAAATATGCCTCACTACATTTACTTGAGAGACTTTAGGGAGAGCAAAGGTCTAATGAAAGATGGTGCAACCAGCCACCTCCTCCTGAAAATGCCTAAATAGATAAGCAAATTGACCTGTGACTTAGCGTCCCTACAAAGTAAAATACAAATCAAATAAAATTTGGTATAATTACTCCTGTATTTGCTTTTGCAGGACTTCTGGTCATCCTACAACCATTCTGCATAAAAAATTTAAGCATATTCCTCAAAGGGGATATAATGGAGGTCGTCTAGGGTATTAAGCAGTAGTTTTCCTCCATTTTTCTTCACTGACATGCTGATGAATTATATCCATGAAACACAGGTTTAATGGGATCTTCTGCTATCTTAATGGAAGATCAGAGCTGCTATTTTTAACACAATGTGTCAGACCATTATAATTTCTTCCATCATTCTGAATACAGCATAAGGTTAAATAAACTGTGATAATGTATTGCTGCATGCTTAACACAAGAATTCCCTGAAAACTCTCTGAGGGGCAGAGATGGTCCACTGAGAGGTAATCAGAGTGAAACAAATAAAACATCACGCTTTCCATAAAAGCCAACATCAAATTCCCTGTGGTCACAGAAGTAATTTTGAAATAAAAACAGGTAAGAGGAGTGATTTGGATGCAATTTTAACTATAAAATAAACAGAAGAAAGTGTTTCCTGAGAGGGTGGTGAGACTCTAGAACAGGTTGCCCAGAGAAGTTGTGGACATCCCATCCCTGGAAGCGTTCAAGGTCAGATTGGATGGGGTTTTGAGCAACCTGGTTTAGTGAAAGGTGTCCCTGCCCACTGCAGAAGGGTTGGAACTAGATGATTTTTCATATCCTTTTCAATGCAAGCCATTCTGTGGTTCTATGTTTCTATGAAATATGCAAAAAGAAGCTCTTTGACAGAATGGTTGTGGGTCCAAGGGGTCAGGCTGAAAATCATGATGAGGAGCAATACTGCCATTCTAGTTTAATTTTGGATGGGTGAAGCAGCTAAAGGAGTACCTTTGAGATCAGCTCAAGAACTGAAAATCCTAAAGGCATTGCTGCTGCTTCTAATTCACCATGGCCAACATGACTGACAAAAGGGAGTGAGTCTGGGGTGGCAGATAGGAATTGTCCTGATGGCTGCACTGCCATGTCAGTCTCATCACAGATGGCTGGAACAGTCAGTTTCTGCTTCCAACCCCTGCAGCATCATTTATTCAGTCTTTGTTCTCTAATGAATAGATGATTTTAACAATTCATGTTAAAAGTTTTCCTTAGTACATAAACTACTTCTTTCTGCGGCCCAAACTGTTTCCTAAGATTGTAAATCATTCCCTTCCTTCATATATATTGATTTGTAACTTGTACAGATTGTGCTCAGGTTCCCCAGTGAGCATTTTCCTCTGGACTCTTTAATTACCAACTGAGCCCACAGTGGAGTTCTAGAGTATTGTTCCAAAGGGCTTACACTGCATAAAACCTGCTATGAGTGGAAAATGCTACCCAACAGATTATTCTGGGAAATGGAAGAAAAATAATCTCAAAATTCTGGACACAGTTAGGAGCTTGGCAACTGCACAGGCTGCTCTGCTCCCAAATGTTCAGTAAAGAAAACGCTGAGAGTATTAAAGACCATACACAGAAGTTTCCTGCAAACATTAACTCTTAAACATATGCAGCAGGGGTTATGAGGCAGGTACTTTGAAGTAATCAGACTAAAAGATTTAGATTAAAACAAGTAGACAGTTTCTTAAGCCTAGAAAAAGTTCTTTTTCCTTCTGGACTGTCAGGATAGCCCACAAATTATTCTTCAAACAAACCTAGTTGGTACTCACAATATTATTATTATAACGTTAAATGGCAATGACTAATTATTGTTATTACCACTTTCTCTCATCCTTGCTTTTGATCTCTCAGTTTTTTTGTGAAGGCCCTCTGAATGGAGGTGTACTCTAATCTTCCACATCAATTAACATTTTAAACTATGCTCTTATGCATAATTTTAACAACTCCCTCCAAATGATAAGGTGTTTTTTCCCATATGCATTCTTCATGAACAGCACTTAAAAATACTACTGTAACCCTCCAAGCCCACCCTGGGACTCTTCTCACCTGGTATCCATGCTTTAAGTCTCCATAACAACTGGTTTTGCACAAACTTATTCTTTATTTTTTCCTGAACTCCTAAACAGTATTGGGACCATGAATCTTTCTCTCAATCACACTTTCAACACTTCTTTCTACAGCTGTTCTTTCACATTATATGGGAATCATGTGCAGAGTTCTATTACCTTATTTTCTGCTTCACCATAAAGCAATTTGTTTAATCATTTGTGGACTTTTTCTGTTTCCCATTAATATCAGCCTGAAAGGTTCAAATGCTTCATGAACAATAAAAATGGAGAAAAATGCTAACCCCTCCTCAAAGATATGCATGTGTGCATCTTCATGCAAGCTCAGGGAAACAAAAAAAAAAACCCCAAAAACAAACAAACAAACAAAAAAGATGCTGGCACTTAAGACCCACAGGCCTGTGCTCTGTATTCTCCTGCAACTCACAGGAACATAGCAATGGAGTCTGTAATTTCTGGTCTTTAATCCCTCTCACTAGCACTGAGCAAATTGCACTGTGGTCCCAACCTTCCCCACCCAATTTTTCCTACATGGAAATTAAGTGGTGTTTCCCACAGGATATTCTAGTTTGTGTGAACTGATGTTTGTAGGACAGGCAGACAAAAAAACAGGCTGAAAGATTTCAGAATTCCATTCAGCTACACATCTGCCTTGTCCAAATATACATACATTTTTTTGATTTAGAGCGCCTAAGCTGTGGTTTTGAGCTAATGACTCAACTCACGTTTTCATGCTTCATGTGTTTCAGGAGACGCAGCTCTCGGTAAGCTCGTTTGGCAAAGAGTTCAGACTGAAACGGGCGGTACAATTTCTTAATGGCCACTTTGGTACCACTTCTTCCATCGACAGCTGAGCTTTAAGGGAAAAGAAAGAGTTCGGTGAGCAAGGACCGAAGCAAGTCTGCAAACCCCAGCGGCTGCATCCTGCCCCACGCTGCCGGGCCCTCGGGGGGAGACCACCGCCCCAGAGCATCTCTGCCAGCAGCCATCTCACTTCGTTCCTTTAAAAGCCTGCCAGGCTCTGTGATGAATTGTAGACAGTTATCAAAAGCTTTAAAGAGGAACATCTGCGGAGTGGGAAAAAAAAAAAAATTCCCGAACTAAAAATAAGACAAAAAAATCCCACTAAACACCCAAGCCCACTACCAACGCAGAGCCAAACCGAGGGGCCCGCCCCAACCGCTAAAACACCCCGGGCTTCAGGGACGCTGCCGCTCCGGGGTGCCGCGGGCCGGGCTCGGCAGCGGCGGGCAGCGCTCCCGGGCAGGGCTGGGGCAGCGCTCCGGGCTCTGCTCGCTCCAGGGACGGAAGGCGCCCGGGTCGGATTCCCCCGGCCGAGCAGCCCGGCCCGGGGCGGCCAGGTGAACAGCGGGGCCGCCCCTCTGCACCCGCGGGGCCGGCGGCACCGGGCGGGGCCAGCCCGGGTCCGGACAACAACCGGGAAAAGTTGGCACGGAGCAACGCGCCAGAGGGCTGGCCCCGGCTGCATCCCCCGGGCCGGGACAGAGGCCGCCGCCCCCGCCACCCGCCCCCGCCGCCCCGCTCACCACACGGCTCCGTAGGCGCCGGACCCCACCGGCTGCAGGTCCCGGTAGCGGTCCCGCACTTCCCAGAGGGTCTTGGTGATCTCCTGCCGGTAGAAGCCATTCTTGGGGGAGGACATGGCGCTGCCGACCCCCGCCGGCTCGCGCCGACAAAGAGCCCGGGCCGGGGGAGCGGCCGGCGCCGCCGAGCCGGGCTGCGCTGAGGGGCCGGGCCTCGGCGAGCGGCGCCGCCCGCGCCCGCCCCGCGCAGCCCCGCCGGCAGCACCGCCCGCCGCCGGGGCTCACCCCGGGGACCGGCACCGGCATCCGCACCGGCCCGGCAGCGCCCTGCCTCCCCCCCCAGCCCGGCTGCCGAGGCCGGGGCGCGAAGGGCGCGGTGTCCCGGAGGCGGCGGAGCGCGCCCGGCCAGGGAGGCAGGTGCCGAGGCTCTCGCTGTCCGAGCGAGCCCTTGCTGTGCGGACCAAACCCCTCCCGGCCGGCTCTTCCCCGCCACGGGTCCCCCTAACGCAGGACCTGTTTTGCCTTTGTGCTCAGGTTCCCGTGAGGTGCCATCGGCTGCTGCATCGACGTGTTAAAAAGCACGAGAGGCTGCAGCTGGCAGAGCTGGGAGTCCAAACGTGAGCTTTTGTATGGCCTCTGCCCTGCGATGAACAGCTGGGGTCCCCAGATCGTTCCAGGCTCAGACCACAACTTACAACAATATTTCATAGAGTTAAATAAAGAACCAGCCCACACTTGGTTCAGGTGCTCAGAGCAAGTGGTCTTGTGCATGACTGAAGTGGAATGGAACTGTTGCAGCAGTGGCTTGAAATGATTGCAGTGCTGGAGTACGGACAAGAGCAACCTTCTCAGTAGCTCTATAGTAAATAGGCCTGGGCCAGCAACATGTATAAGGCAAAGACCTGGTTTAAAATATGTTTTATGTGTTCCTGATAGTGGGGCCCTGGAAAATGTTAAAGATAGAACTCTGAAAATGTTAGGCTTTGTGTTTTGCCAGATCATTGCACCTGTGTAAGCAGTATGATAAATGAAATAATTGTTAGATGTGATGTTTGTTTAGTAATTAAATATAATTATAGTATAATCATAAGAAGAATCATTAGAAACTATGTTAGAAATTTAAGGGGGGCCACGAGGAGCCATTCTTGGCTGAAATCTATGTATACAATAGAACAATATAAGTTTAATAATGAACATGAAAGTTATATAATGATAGAATATAAAAACATGTTCATCCCAAACCCATGGCAGAGTCAGATTTGGGTTGGTAGCCCCTGACACCCAGAGCTCTTCAATAAAAGCACCTACATATGATCATTCTTGTGATTATGTGTTTCTGAACGCTAACATTCCCTGTGTGAATATAATTAAAATTCTTGTCCTTTAGGGTCTGGCAAAGCCTTTGTTTTGTTTGACTTCACCCCTGAGCAATGTTGCTGAGGTTAGATAATTCAGATTTGCTGTCACTAGAGTTCAGTTTGTGGTTTAGCTCTAAAGGAGCAATCTGGACAAGTTTCAGGGCTGCCAATGCCATTTTGGTAGTTGCCACGGGCTTTTTGGTGCCTTGGTGCCTGACTACCAAATGTGGAAGAGCCACCCTGCCCTTGCTCCTCTTGGGGTACAGGAACAGCACAACCTTCCAGCTGCCAGCCCTGTGTTCAGCACTGCTCTCCACTGACCTGTTCCAATCTCTGGTTTAGTGAGAATGGAGAGCAACCTTCTGGCATTGAGCAGTTAACATGAGGCTTGTGAGAAGTGTCAGATTAATGGTAGATGTTTACTTTTAAAAATCCACTGCCCCAGGAGATTATTTTTTAATTTCTGACATCCCTTCTATGATGTCTGCCATTCAGGTGTTGGCTGGTGTGAAATGTGGTACAGGTAAGGTGAAGGATACAACAGCTTTCTCTCATTTTGAACTAATCCAATAGTTAAATTACTTATAATTAGCATTATATATGTTTCTAGAATAGAGAGGATAAGTTCTGCTTGTTATCCTTCACTTACTTTTCCTTTATCCAGTTGTGACAAAGTGATACTTTTTTACTGCCTGCTTTTCATCAAGGCAGAAATTAAATTATTTTGATACAGTAGATAAAAGTATCTAACTTAGCATCAAGAGAAGTTCACTCTTGTGCAGAAGCTGAAAATATTACAGAGCAACTTTTAAAAAACATTTTAAATTGACAAAGTTATCCATTGCTGGTTTTCCCATGTTTTTCCTTCAGTAAGTATTTAGGCATACTTTGCTCTAGATGGATGAAGTAGCTGCGTAGGTCAAATATAAGACCACCTTTCCCCACCAGGTCACACATGCAGGACATGAGATGGTAAACTTACTGAAAAGATGAGGAAATCAGCACTGTCATAACAAGGGAAGCTTTGTCTAATAAACCATTCAAAATGTCTATGAAGGGAATGAGTCAAGAAACTTGGGTCCATCCACAGCTGGTAGATCTTACAGCAATGTCACAAATTGCACGAGTCTCTGCATCCTGCTAGGCTCAGCTGGATACACGGTGATGTGTTTTCCCAAGGACAGTTTGTTGCCAGGGGACTGACTGATAGATGCTACAGCCACATCTTATTCTGGGCAGTGTGTGCTTGACAGGGTGGATTTTAAAAAGAGTGCTATCAGATATTTCTGCTTCTGGCATACATTTATTGTAAAGTTAATAGAAAAAAGAGATCTTCTTCAAACATCATTAACAACAACAAAAAAAAAGCATAAATGATGCAAAAATTGCACTTTTCTAATGCTCATCCCATAAAGGGATGATTTAAGAGGTATCAGAATGTGGTGGGTTTTTTTTTTCAGAGCCAACTTTTGATGTGCTGGATGGTTGCCATCAGCTGCAAAGCATATGAGGTGGATGAGATGGGTACAGTATTCTTATTCTTTCAGTACTCTTTCTAATCCCTCTGATAACTGAGAGCTCAATTTCTCTTCAGCCAGGAACAGAAGCTTTGGTGCTGGAGCAGAAGCTCTACAAGCAAGCAATGAGAAATCTAACCATGTTTTCCTGAGAAATCCTACATGTATGAAGTCTGGTGAGAGAGTTTGATGGCAAAGCTGCTCACCACAAGCTGTCACTTGGAGATGACAAAATGGCACAGCCCTGTTTGTCAGGAGCTCAGCTGTGGGTGAGCTGCTGGGCTCTGAGTGCAGGAGTGTGTCAGTGTGAGCAGGGAGAGGGGACTGGCACTGATCTCCAGTCCAGGCACTGATATTGTGGAGGAAAGGAGATCATACGAAGTCCTTTGAAGAATCAAACATCTTCCCACCTTTCTGCCTGTTTATATGTCTGTCTTTCATATGATCATTTTATTCTTGAAACACTAATTCACATATGGATAATTTGGCTGTGTAAAACATACCTTAAATGTCAATAAACATAAAATCTTGCTGAATTGTCAAAAGCTGATTCCTAGAATATTATTATTTTTTAAGAAGCTTTCTATATGTCCACCTTCAAAAAATACTCTGTGCCTTACTTGGACCTGTTGCCATGGAGGGAGTAAGTTCATTCTATTTATTACATCAAGAAGTAAAATTTTAAAAATAGTAATTAAAAAAAATCTCAGTTTTAATCGGAAAATACTCCTGTGCTATTTTGTCCCCACCCTTCCCCAGTGGACTCACTGCCAACTATTTTGCAACTTTTCTGATTTTGTCTCTCTGCCCAATGAGCAGGGTGTTTCAGTTCCAGTTTCTGTGACATGTAGCCCTCCTGGGGGGCCTTGCCATATTGCAAGGTCACTAAGCCATCAGCAGAAAGGAATAAATAAATATACACACCTAAGTGCTTTTTTATATTAAAAAATAATTCAAACTATACATTACATTTTTTCAAGAGGTCAAATGAGAACTTACTAAGTAACTATGTTCTACTCCATTATCCCTGCTTGCTAGAGGTTGGTGGAGGAAGAGAGGCCAGTTGTAGAGAGTAGTAGACACCTATATAGAAATCAACTACTTTTAACACTCTCCTAACTTTCTCTCCTCAGAATCCAAAGATCCTCTCCTACAATAGACTGAAGGAGTTTAATTTTTAAACTATCACAGATTGTTTACAGAATTGTATGAGATGCTATAGTCTACAAAGCAAAAAAAAAAACTCTTGAAGAGTTTCCCAACCTCAATGCAAAAATCATATGAAAAGAGCATTAATGGATATCACTGATGGATAGCTTTACTCATTTGTCCCTGCATATTTGTGCACATCTCCTGTTAAATCACCCAAACCATCATGGCATTCTTACCCCCATCTTACCCATCCTTGCCAATGTTGTCTTAGTTTTCTTTGTTTCCACCTCCACCTAATGAGAGAGCTGGGCAGGACAGGAGTACTGTATGTAATTTTTGCACAGAATGTAATTTAACTACAGGTTCTTGATTAGAGCAATCAGGCTCTAATATAAAATAGGCATATATTATCTGGGTGCTAATCCACAGGATGTTACTCTATAAGGAACAAAGTGCTGCTCAGTGGAGGCTGCCAGTTATGGCAGATTTAGTGTATAGTTGTCTCAGAGCTGCAACTGTGATTCAGTATTACTGCTGTGTTCACTATTACTTGTGATTAAATTGGAACCTAAAAGGACTAGCTAAAACCTCTGTGCTGTGGTACACATCTTAATATGTGACAATAATTGGAGCTGGGGGACTATGGGAGTGCAAAATGAAGCATTTGTATGTCTGCAAGATGGAAGCCTAATTGAAGAGTTTCGCTCATTATGTTGAAATTTCTGGTCTAATGGATTAAATGTCAGATTGGTTGGAAGATCAGTGTTCACACAGAAAGCTCACAATATATTCCCTCCTTGTAGTGAAAATGTAGACCCTTTTAGGTGTATCAGTTCAATATTTTATTTTATAGCAGAAAGAAGGGCAGTGGCAGCAACACTAATGTAGCTTTCTAAATCTCTTGGTACTAGTGCCTTAAAACCCCTTACCCAGACTCATAAATTAATGACACTTGGTACTTTCACTTGTGCAAATGTGCTGATTTCTAAGAACCAGTGTTTGCATCCATAAATACTAGCAGCAGTAGCAGCAATGTGTGACAAAAGAGCAGCTGTTTTTAAAGCAAAGTGAAGTGTTGCTGTTAATTCCTAA